TTAATTGAACACCTGCGAAATAAAAGTGTTTTAGTTGCAGCTGCAAAGATAAGAAAACACCTGCGTTTTAGTTGCAGCTGCAAAGATAAGAAAACACCTGCGTTTAGTTGCAGCTGCAAAGATAAGAAAACACCTGCGTTTTAGTTGCAGCTGCAAAGATAAGAAAACACCTGCGTTTAGATGCAGGTGCAAAGATAAGAAGAGTGACGATGAGAAGAGAAGTCCCGGATTGCGCGCCTGTTACATCATTTTTTAAACTTGTGTACACATATTTTGTGTATTTTTGAATATATTTCACTATACGAGTAAAAATCCGGAAATTTTGGAACGAATTAAACTCGTTAAGCGAGGTTGTACTGCATTTACAAGTTTGTCTATGTTGAATGGTGGATGCGCCGGGAATTGTACTATTTTTAAGTTATCAATTATTATCATATCGACTATTATTCAATTAATTAACTTTTTTTAATTATAGTTTTTAAGCAGAACATTTACTTAATTTACTTTAAGACATTCATAAGGCTAGATATCAATGTAAGATGATAGATTGGTTTAAAAATAATAAAAAAAAAAATTACAGAATATTAATAATACTTTGAATATAATTATATTATTTTTTTATACAATTTCTACTAATTTCAATATTATATAAATTGTAATTCATGTGAAAATAATGAAATATTTATATATTCTATAAAAAAAGTAATAAAAATTCGAATATTTTGGAAAATTATTACCTTATATGCTTACAAAATCGTGAATTATTACGATTAATCAGCGACACCTACGACGAGACAGCTGCAACTGCGACTCTCAAACGTTATAACAATCACACCTGCATAGTTACGTAAACGCCCGATTTAAAACACGATGAATCAGCTGCACCTGCGACTCTCAAATGTTTAAACAATTACACCTGCATAGTTACGAAAACGCCCGATCTAAAACACGATGAATCACCTGCACCTGCGAATCTCAAATATTGTAACAATTCTAAATATGCAACTATATTCTGTATTTCTCTAAAACCCAAATTTAAATTATCAACACAAATGTTAATTATAATTTCTATTAATTAAAATAATTATATATTAGATTAAACATTAACAATCTTCATTTATTAAATAAACAACGATTTTTTATTAGAGAAATTGTAATTATTTGATATTTCTGCAAACTGAAATGTAATTAGTAACTATCAATTAGGTTTTGTTTTGTTAGTGTAAAAGGGATGCTGATACATTTCATATGCACGTGGCGTATAGAAGGAAAGGAAATTTCGCCTGAAGCAATTTATTTTGCATCGAAAGTTAAATTCATTACATGTACACCTCCAACCAATCGAATTGGTAGGGGAACGAAAGTTTATTCCCAGCAGTATGGATTAAAATGGGATCGGGAACTAATTAACTTTTTTCCCTGGTATTATCTTTTACGTGATACGCCTGAATATTTCATTAATAAAAAGCCGTCGGGGACATACAAAAAAAATAAAGAGGAAAGTACGCGTTCGTTAATCGTAATCATGGCAAATATTACATGTTTTTATTTTCCCCATTACATTTCCAAACATCCTAACCAAATATCATCTCATCTCTGCACAAATCTCAAGTTTTCTTTTATTTTTGTTTCGAAGAAAGAATAGTTTATAATAGATGAAGTCATTCAAGGTTTTATTTATTATTCTCAAGCATTCTTTTCTTTGAGGAAAAACTAACAGTTTATAAGTGATTTCAAATTATGTAATAAAAATCGACGTTGGCTCAAAACTTGGTGTTTTTTATTGCGTACTTATAATATAGATTATATAGATAAAATACAATAAATGATATTTTTATGTAGGTATATGAAAATTGAAAATTAGGTATACTTTGGAGTTTGCTGAAAGTAAATTTCAGTTTTTTTTATATGTTTTTTATAATGGATGGAGTAATTCAAGATTTTATTTATTATTCTCAAGCATTATTTTCTTTGAACAAAAACTTACAGTTTATAAGTGATTTCAAATTATGTAATAGAAATCGATGTTTCTAAGTTTGTTGACAAAAAAAAGTAATTACTTTCATCTATTTTCATATTATTCATTGGCCCCAATTAGTTTTTACTTGATAATGATACAAAATCAAGGAATTTGGAATAGTTTTATATAAAAATATAATTTGTCCTTTAGAAATTGTTAGTTTTTCTTGTAATTTATGTAATAAAATTAACGATTAACATCAATTAATTAATTGTCAGTAAATTTAACTATGATAGACAAAAATTTCATAAAATAAATATTTTTATTCATTATAAATTTATTTATATTTCATCACACACATGCAATATTGGAATTTCTTAAATATTATTATTCATAACAAATCTGTATGTTTTTGTTCACATTTACGTGCCTTGAAAATAGCTTTTCAAAACAATCTGAAAGATATTATAGATTCAAAAATAGAACTGTCAAATATGTCAAAAAATTGTTGACATTTACATCTGACATTATAAACATAAATATTTTTTAATACATTTTGTTATATAATAATTTTAGCAGATTCATTGGATTGGAAACAATTAAACAAAATTAAAGTAATTTAATTAAGCGAATGAAATTAGGTTAAAATAAAGGTACACAATTATGAGGAAGATCGAATTTCGATCATTACCTTGACGTTATTTTCAAAACGTTGATTAATTTGAGGATGAGCAGTGTTTGTTTGAGTTTTCTGATCTAATTTAAGAAACTTCCCATTGATAATATATGAACTTATTTTTAACATATTTTTCACATTCATAATTTAAATTTATTACCATTATTTCTAATAATATAGTAGATTTTCTATGAAAATACTGAGATTTATCCTATTTTTATAATACTGTGGTCATTAAAGCCTTTTCTTGATTGTTAATCGTATTTGGAAGAGGAGATACAAGTCGCCCCAGTTGTTGATTGTGTTTACACTGAATTCCTGAAGTTTCTATTAAGTTGAGCTCTCCTTTGAGTTCAACATGATGCAATTATGGGATTTGCATTCATTGCTGAGAACATGTATTCATTTTAGTTACACCTGCAAACATAAGAAAACACCTGCAAATATAAGAAAACACCTGCGGATTAATTAAACACCTGCGAAATAAAAGTCTTTTAGTTGCAGC